GCTAAAAAGAAAAGAAAGAAAGAAATTAAAGCAACGACAGAAAGAAAGAAAGAAAGAAAGAAAGAAAGAAAGAAAAAAAAGAAAGATGGCAAAAAGAACAAAGGTAACATGTCGAATCTAATAGAAAGAAAGAAAGAAAGAAAGAAAGAAAGAAAGAAAGAAAGAAAGAAAGAAAGAAAGGAGAATAATGGAAAGAAGAAAAGTAACAAGTCCAGCCAAATAGAAAGAAAGAAAGAAAGAAAGGTAACAAGTCGGGCCAAATAGAAAGAAAGAAAGAAAGAAAGAAAGAAAGAAAGAAAGAAAGAAAATAACGAAAAGAAAGACAAACTGGAAAGAATAAAGGTAACAAGGCGGACCAAATACAAAGGAAAGAAAGGAAAATGAAAAAAAAAAGAAAGGTAAAAAGAAAAAGTAAAGAAAGAAATTAAAGCAACGACAGAAAGAAAGAAAGAAAGAAAGAAAGAAAGAAAAAAAAAAGAAAGATGGCAAAAAGAACAAAGGTAACATGTCGAATCTAATAGAAAGAAAGAAAGAAAGAAAGAAAGAAAGAAAGAAAGAAAGAAAGAAAGGAGAATAATGGAAAGAAGAAAAGTAACAAGTCGAGCCAAATAGAAAGAAAGAAAAGGTAAAAGTCGGGCCAAATAGAAAGAAAGAAAGAAAGAAAGAAAAGAAAGAAAGAAAGAAAAAAAAGAAAGAAAAGAAAGAAAAAAGAAAATAACGAAAAGAAAGACAAACTGGAAAGAATAAAGGTAACAAGGCGAACCAAATACAAAGGAAAGAAAGGAAAATGAAAAAAAAAGCTAAAAAAAAAAGTAAAGAAAGAAATTAAAAGCAACGACAAAGAAAGAAAGAAAGAAAGAAAGAAAGAAAGAAAAAAAAAAAGATGGCAAAAAGAACAAAGGTAACATGTCGAATCTAATAGAAAGAAAGAAAAGAAAAAAAAAAAGAAAGAAAGAAAGAAAGAAAGAAAGAAAGAAAGGAGAATAATGGAAAGAAGAAAAGTAACAAGTCCAGCCAAATAGAAAGAAAGAAAGAAAGAAAGGTAACAAGTCGGGCCAAATAAAGAAAGAAAGAAAGAAAAGAAAGAAAAGAAAGAAAGAAAGAAAATAACGAAAAGAAAGACAAACTGGAAAGAATAAAGGTAACAAGGCGGACCAAATACAAAGGAAAGAAAGGAAAATGAAAAAAAAAAAAAGGTAAAAAGAAAAAGTAAAGAAAGAAATTAAAGCAAAACCAGAAAGAAAAAGAAAGAAAGAAAGAAAGAAAAAAAAGAAAGATGGCAAAAAGAACAAAGGTAACATGTCGAATCTAATAGAAAGAAAGAAAGAAAGAAAGAAAGAAAGAAAGAAAGAAAGAAAGGAGAATAATGGAAAGAAGAAAAGTAACAAGTCGAGCCAAATAGAAAGAAAGAAAGAAAGAAAGAAAGGTAACAAGTCGGGCCAAATAGAAAGAAAGAAAGAAAGAAAGAAAGAAAGAAAGAAAGAAAGAAAATAACGAAAAGAAAGACAAACTGGAAAGAATAAAGGTAACAAGGCGAACCAAATACAAAGGAAAGAAAGGAAAATGAAAAAAAGAAAGGTAAAAAGAAAAAAAAAGAAAAAGAAATTAAAGCAACGACAGAAAGAAAGAAAGAAAGAAAGAAAGAAAGAAAGAAAGAAAGAAAGAAAGAAAGAAAGAAAGAAAAAAAAAAGAAAGATGGCAAAAAGAACAAAGGTAACATGTCGAATCTAATAGAAAGAAAGAAAGAAAGAAAAGAAAGAAAGAAAGAAAGAAAAGAAAGAAAGAAAGAAAGAAAGAAAGAAAGAAAGAAAGAAAGAAAGGAGAATGATGGAAAGAAGAAAAAGTAACAAGTCGAGCCAAATAGAAAAGAAAGAAAGAAAGAAAGAAAGAAAAAAAAAGAAAGAAAGAAAGAAAGGAGAATAATGGAAAGAAGAAAAGTAACAAGTCGAGCCAAATAGAAAGAAAGAAAAGAAAGAAAGAAAGGTAACAAGTCGGGCCAAATAGAAAGAAAGAAAGAAAGAAAGAAAGAAAGAAAGAAAGAAAGAAAGAAAGAAAGAAAGAAAGAAAAATAACGGAAAGAAAAAAGGTAACAAGTCGAACCAAATTGAAAGAAAGAAAGATGCCAAATTGCTGGCAAAAATGGATTGAATATTAATCAACTTTATGCTGGATTTTCGCTGGTCACTCCTTAGAATCTCCTCCATTGTCAGGTTCTGAATCAATATCCCCCGCCTGGTCGTCGCTACTTGGAACTATTTGTTTTCCTATCCGTAAATTGACATTAAAGTACACCTTACGTAAATAATATGTTTACATAAAGGCACGATGATGTTCCCATTTCTCTTATTGCCCACGTCATTGGCAAATACGGTTGGCCGATTTTGCCGAACCGGATCCACGACAATCGTAATGTTTCCGTCGAGTTGTATATTGGGTACCGCATCGGTTATCAGCGATTGACAGATTGATTTAAATTACAACCGAGGTCTTTTTTGGTCATTGTCACCTAAATCTATTTTGTCTCCACACACCCACCTTGGCAAATGGTTTTCTTTAATCTTCGAGATAGTCAACACGTCTACGAGAAGGAAAAATTCTGAATTTAAACGACACACAACTGCTTCATTGGAAAGCGTGGTATCGTAAGGTTTATTATATCCCAAGCAGAATCTTGAAGAATTTGGTGCCCTTGTGAATGGAAAAATGATTTCTTATTTTACATATACAGTAGCGGCCATAATAATTTTTGTATCTTTGTATAATATTTATGCATTACGCCCTAATCTTTATTCGGTAAAAATTTCATTGCTAATCATGCATTACTTTTAAAGTAATACACATATTTATGTCTTTGTTGTTTCCGTTCTTTATATTATGGCCGCTACTATATATATATATATATATATATATATATATATATATATATATATATATATATATATATATATATCTGTGTGTGTGTGTGTGTGTGTGCAGATATATAGAAAAATAGGAAAGAACACGTTAGTTAAATAATCCGGAGTTCTTCAGTATTTTTGGTTTTATTTTTAAAAAACAGTGCTCCATACAGAAGTAGAGCTTAAATTATAATTATTTTAAAAAAAATATGATTCCTTCGCTACATAAGAGTTCTCATGTTTCAAAAACGAGAGCCGAAAACCTCAATCTAATTACTGAAATAATGTATCAAGCCCTGTTTCATCCTCAAGCGAAAATTTAGGGAAAAAATAATGTTCGTCCAGTACAAGGCCCAAGAGCCAATCAAGGTAGAGGAGTACTGAATGAAGTTGATATATGAACGGGAAATTTTCTTCTCGGTAGTCCGTTCCATAATGAAGCGATTTTAGAAGACGCTCTTTGAACGAAACTTTCTCCTTACTAATGTAATCCAAAGAGAATGAAGATGTTTGGGTCCTGTGTATGCCGTTTTGTGTGCCTCAACTCTATTGGGAGAAACTCAGGAATGGAAATATATATATATATATATATATATATATATATATATATATATATATATAACTGAATCGAATTGAAGAATGGGAAATGAAGGAGAAAGGTCTGTAAATTATAGGTTTCGCTCATACTACTAACAGTCTTAATGATAGATGTAACTTGTGTTTAGAAGAAAAAATTAGAATAATAAAAGCAATGGAAACCTTCATTTGATCTGATGTGCTGTTAACCATTCAGCGACAAAGAAGTGTCTGGTTAGTAAAGTCCGAATTATTGTTTACAAACATAAAATCTTCGACGTTTTGTCTCGATCGGTTTTATCTGCTCACGGAATATATAAACAATTGTCTGACTTAATCATATATATATATATATATATATATATATATATATATATATATATATATTTCGATTATAGGTGAAGTTCAATTTATAATTACATGAATCATTCATACAAAAAATAAATATATTACCGAGAAGTAAAAAACAAGAACAAATCTATTTCCATACCTGAGGATGTCTGTAGGAACAGACGAAGGCTTGTAAAAATTTTAAAAAGACCTTATGAAACTGGAATTTATAAACAGGGATCATATCATTCATATACAGGTTCGGAGTTGATGTATCTTATTTATATTGTTTGCGAAGATGTATTCTCGCCATTTAAATCATTAACCTCTATATTTGTTTTTTATAGGAATGATTCATGTAATTATTTATATATATATATATATATATATATATATATGAAAATATATAGAAAATAGGAAGGAACTGGTTAGGTAAATAATCCAAAGTCCCTTAGTATTTTAGTTATTTTTTTTTTTAAATAGTGCTCGATACAACGGCTCTTGTTTTGAAACATGAGACTTCTTATGTCGCGATTTGGAATCATATTCTTAAATATATATATATATATATATATATATATATATATATATATATATATATATATATATATATATAAAAATGCTCTGTTTTTTAATTAAACAGTTTATAAAATACATAGATATAGTCATGCACAGACAGACTGTTTCGCTTAATCACAGCTCCTTAATGTGGTTAGACGTCCGACTACTTCAAGCCAGGATCGAACTCCAACTTGTGGGACACCAGTTACACCATCTTACTACTAGACCATCGTTGAACGGCAGAAGGATGGGAATTTTATATATAAGGTTTTAATCTTGTGTAACTAGCTCCTTGCAAATCTTCCCGGGAGTTTGGAGCGGTAGAAGTTCTTTTAGAATGATTCAGGGGTTCTTGCTCCATGGCCTGCTAGGATCCATGTAAAGACTCTTTTTTATTCGGTCTGTTTCAGTGAACACGACTTTTGGAACATCTGTCAAATTTTGCATAAAATGTTCTGGGGTAAGTTGGGGAGACTTTTGGTAACTTGTCAGTACAGCGTTTTGCAGGTGACTGAAACAGTCGTTGTGAAGGTGGATTTCTTAAAGATCGATGCGCTGTGGTGGGGACAGTGTCCCTTTTTTTATATCAGAAGACTTCATGTTTCCTCAGGCTCTAAAAACATCCTACGTCTACTTGAAAAATAGTACTTAGAAAAACTCGAGGATTAAACGTCATATATATATATATTAATGTGGATAAATCGAATAGATATTACCAACCGTATATACGTGCGTTAGCGTGCTTACACGGATAAGCGAAAAAATATTTACTCAGTTTAACATAAGGTGTAGACGAAACAGTGAACAATGTGGTTAGACAGAGCTAAGAATATATATTAATAAACGTATTAATACGTAGGTTTATATATATATATATATATATATATATATATATATATATATATATATATATATATATATGATAGAAATTATTAGGAGGATTTCATAATTAAGTAATTCATCGAGTCTGAAGGAAAATTCAACATAATGCACTGGACGGCCATTTCATCCTATGTTTAGGACTCATCAGCAGTGCGCATCCACTACCGAGAATTGTAACCCGGACAATTAGGTTATCAAGCAAACGTCATACCAACTGTTCCAGTGCTTACTGCTGTGGTTTCTTTCAGACTCGATGAATTACTAAATTATAATTATCAAATCCTCCTAATATACATACATACACAACACACACACACACACACACACACACACAGTGGAGTAATGGATTTCGGATTCCAGTTGAGTTCATTATATGTTGTTTCCTTTAGTATCCCGATTCAAGCAATCACACCGTCCACTCGTCAGGGGATATCATATACATACATATTATGAAATGGACAAAGTCCGACAATTATTTTAAGACATTTTTATGTTTAACGTTCTTTTTATAGATACAGAGATTTAAGTAAATGCTCTGTTTATAATAAACAGCATTTGTATCTATATTTAAATATATTAAATACTTTTATCTATAAAAAAAGAATGTTAAACATAAAAATGTCTTAAAATGCATATATATATATATATATATATATATAAATTATTTTATATATTTATTTTAATTGTTTTTTTAATCCTTTGTCCTGAAGCATGCCAATACAGATCTACTAAGTTACAAAAGGTTAGAGAATATGAGAAAAAGAAAATAGTATTAACAATAAAAGAACAAGAATTAAAAAGACAGAAGAGAGAAGATTTTTGAATAATAAACTCAGTTGGAAAGTACGAAACCGCAAGAGAGTTCCAGGAGCGAGAAGTGCAAGAGAAGAAACTGTTAGCATAAAACTTACGGTTGCATCTAGCCATTTAAACTTTAAAATGATGAGACCTTTCCGCCAATCTAGTACTGGACTTCAATTCATTAAGTCTAGGTAACGAAGTGTAAAAAATCTTTAGACCAACTGACATGAAAATATTCATACAACGCACAGGGAAGCTACTGTTACAATTGTAGGAATGTGACGGAAGCCAAGATGCCATGTCAGAACCAATAACTTTGCAGATACTTTTTTTTATTTTATTTAGAATCACTGAATATATAGCACCAGATATGAGATGTGTACTTAATAACAACAATACTCCATTTTTGATTTGATTATATTCTTGTAAAGATGGGTCTAGTCAGGAAGAGGTGTATATTTCTGACCCACTTTTGGTCGAAATGTGTGGCGTGACCTGTGACGCAAAAAGGAACTGATTAGCATAAAGAACAAATAAATTTATAGTCATTAAGCAATAAATATTTCAAATGGCAGCATATAAAACGGAATTCATTTTTTACCTCGCAAATAATTTATCACAAACACGCAAAGATGTTATCGGTGATCTGTAAACGGGAATTATCCAAATCTAAACACGTGAATTCCCAATCGAATCAGAAGCCTGCTCACAGATCCAAATATATAGCCCAAAAAATATCTTTGTGAACTGAATCTTGCACGCCAGGTGATAAATCTCAACTCCAGAGTGTCCAGTGATCTCCTCAATGATTAAGAAGAGACTTGAAGCAATACAAACAAAAAAGTACTAAACTGTTATGTAATATCAGTCCTCCTATATGGCAGTGAATGCTGGACAATCTCTTCACAGATGAAGAAGAGACTTGAAGTAAGAGAAACAAAGAAAAGAGTACTGAACTGTTATGTAATATAAGTCCTCCTATATGGCAGTGAATGCTGGACAATCTCCACACAGATGAAGAAGAGACTTGAAGCAAGAGAAACAAAGAAAAGAGTACTGAACTGTTATGTAATATAAGTCCTCCTATATGGCAGTGAATGCTGAACAATCTCCTCACAGATGAAGATAAGACTTAAAGCAAGATAAACAAAGAAAAGAGTACTGAACTGTTATGTGAAATCAGTCCTCCTATATGGCAGTGAATGCTGGACAATCTCCTCACAGATGAAGAAGAGACTTAAAGCAAGAGAAACAAAGAAAAGAGTACTGAAATGTTATATAATATCAGTCCTCCTATATGGCAGTGAATGCTGGACAATCTCTTCACAGATGAAGAAGAGACTTGAAGCAAGAGAAAAGTGTGCACGGAAAACCCGTAGGTCAGTTTGATGCAAACTAGCTTTCTTACTTTTGTTCCTTTCGGCACAATTTGTTGGTATCTTTCTTTCTTTTT